GACACAACCATACCAGGAAGAAGTTGCACACACATCATGAGATACACTACTTCTAGGCAATCAACTCACGCGAAAATCTAAGAGGAGATAGACTCAAAGGAAATTGTTTGTATGCTTTACGCATAGAACGCAGTTTCGGTGTGCTCTAACAAGTAGAGTCGCTCTATCAAGTCGAGTCGCTCACATCGATTCGAGACGTCCTGTCGTGTGTGGAAACAACGATGCGTTAGTTCTATTGGTTTCGTTGGACAGGCGATGCCGATTATTATATAGGACGCTGGGAATTGTGTTATCCGTTACACCTAGGTCAGTTAGCGGCAACCTGATGGAGCGGGCTTCCGCACAGCGCCCACCAGCTTGAATATGCCGCAAGGAGGGTGCGGACGACAACCAGCCACAGTACCGTGCAGGTACTGCAGGCTATTCGCGAGAGTACTCTGGGATGTCTAAAGTTTGACCAACCCAGCAACGACCAGAACCATGTTTTCTCATTATTACGCGCTCTCCTTCCCACTCCTTACTAATCATGGATATTCTCTCTGCCACTTGCGCGTCCAGTTCCCGCACTGGTTGTAGTGTCGCCTACGTGGCAAACTCGGATACGTGTGCGTCTACAGTGGGTACATTAGCCTTTTGCTACCTAGTTTCTACGTTGAAGAGGCTATAGTATTTATTGCTTATGAAATTATAAGTTATTTCTTCGATGAAGATCTACTGAAGTGTTGGTTTCCCGAGCTTTCCTTGTATTCTTGACTAGCACTGCTGAACACCAGGGCCTTACACCTACCAGAACATGAAGAGAACGGCCGATGCAGCGAACAAATACGAACCCTGGGACTTGCATCTCCCCAACTAAAGGCTAAAGGCTAAAACCCAATAATTAATTCCGCGGATTATCAAATTTCAATTGTTGATCATGTGAAGCACTTCAAGTATCGTTTCAAGTCCGAGGGTTGTCTCCCGTTACACCTACTATATTTTAACTGCTTTTGATGCATTAGATACTGAGCTCTTCCCTTCATCGTCCCCTACTCCGCAAGCAACCGCCTAAAAGGACGAACCAGCTCTCAAATTATCTCCCCTTCCTACTTCGCTATGTTAATCTACCAGCACACCATGAACTGTAAACAAACAGCACTTTACTGCAATTCTAATGTACTGTTACTACCAGGCTACTTCTACTACCCCACTCCTCCTTCCCTCGCGGTGAATTCAACTATATTTCCTCTCTCTGCTTTCCGAAAACACAAAACAACTAATACTGCACAGACAGGCATCGCCAGAAGTAATTCGCGTACAACTCATGCATATCAGAGTAGAAACGCACACGACAGGCATCAAAGGGTTCGCCTCGTGAGTTCCTTAACAGATAGTGGCGCTTGTTTGCACCCTGCACCGGCTTCTGCATACATTTTCGAGTCAGCCAAGGTAGGACAAACGAAAACTAAACATCCAGGCAGGTTGTATTTGCACCCACCTCCTTTCTCAGCTATGCCTGATTTCAATGGACCTACGATCGTCTAGAGCCCCTTCGTACCCTACGGTGCGTCGTCGCAATCTCCTTATAATCAAGTAAAGAACCCCTATGCTATCGCCTTCTGTAGCGACGTAGTCTCTCAAAATTCCACTCAAACTATGGTAATTAATAACTGTACATTGCTTTTAAATTAATAAACGCTGTTTTCAACAGGGACTATGAGAATCCGTTGAATGCGATGCCGCTGCCACGGGGTAATGGGCGCGGCGAAGCGAAGGTACAGAACAGCAGGGGGAATCAGCTGCTCTCTTAGTTAACGTGCAGAAAGAAAACGGCAAACTCCCTATGTTCAATTGTCAAGCGAAACTCGACAATGAACTTAACAATCCGAGGCTAGCTCACTGTCTAGCTTCTCTATGCAGAGGCAAATGCCACTATAGCAGTTAAGCCTGCTACAAGAAGGGAGGGTACGGCAGCAGCTGCACCGCCCTGGACAGGAGCTTTGAGGTCCTCGTCAGTCATTTCTGTCAATGGTGTGTTTCGTTCCTTGAGCGCTTCGTAATACTCCTTGCTGCAACGCAAAACCAACACATGAGGAAGCAGACAGTCGAATTGCAGAAGCAGAAGTTGTGCTGTATATAGCCATCTCCTTGATTTAGGCCCCTCACTCAACACTTACTCGAAGGGAGCCTTGTCTTTCACCGCTGCAGGATCCATCTGACAAAAAAGATATGTGATACTTGTTTCTGGAGTTCGAAGCTCATCTGATGTTTGAGTGCATGTTCCTACGGCGCAGCCAACTTTGGTACTGTTAGACGAAAGAAGGTGTGCGAGGTTGGCGCCGTCGGGTTTCGCCCAGAACTTCGTCCACTCCCCATCATTTTCAGGGTACGACTGCAGCTCTCTGAGGGAAGAGCAGCAGTTGACTTCGCAATACCATGCAGAATTAGCATTTAAGTCAACTGGATCAGCGATGATGAAGATGAAGCGGGTCTGTGCCGGGCACGAGGTGTATGAGAGTATGGCGGCTATGATCATGGAGAACTGTTCGTCACATTATCTTCTCTTCTCAGCATGACATCTCTGTGCCGTAGTCTTTTGCCTTCTTTGATTTTGTATGCATTAGTTTAATGCCTTGTGCAATTACGCTACCTACTTGCTTGTGTGTTGGTGTTGTGCTGCGGGCAGTAAAGATGCACTCACTTAAGTCCAGCTTTAAGGGCGTTCTCCACAGCTTGGCGATATTCCTGGTCTTCAGCGTCTGTGAGCTGTGCGAAAAAATGGGTCTTTTTCTGAAAATTCAAACAGAAGCGGAAAATGTCAAATACATTTTCGTGCTTATGCAGAGGTCCATAAACGTCTAAATGCGTATTTATGCTTGCCAGTCGAACGTTTAAACGGTGGCTTTACTCACGACTTTTGCGATGGATTCTTCACACGCTTCGGCTGACGGTTCAGCTGCCGCCGCTATGAATGCAGTCTTTACAGCATCGGTCAGTTCGCTGTTCTCC